CCCCGACCCCCGCATGTCATTGTGTATAGCGAAGCCGTAATTCCAGTGCCTTTGATGGTGGAACGAGAGTCCAGAAACACGTCGAGCTAATTTTTTGGGGGTGCGGGCTCCCTGAAGCGCTTTATTGCGGTGTGGCTCCCTGGAGCTTTTAAATTTTCGTTTTTTCTTAAACTGATCTGTATTTAAGATGCATTGAGCTCTATTTAATAGAGCTTTTTGGGGGGTGGGGGTGGGGAGTGGGTGTACATTACTGTCCAGATGGAACCCGGGGAGGCGGCGAATGCCAAGCCGAGTTGCAAGGCGTTAGCTGGTCGGCGTGAGCTTCCTCCTTTAAAGCCATGGGCCCTGATCCGGAGCTCGGCCGGTGCTCTGTGCAAAGGTTGTGAAGGGCTCCCTCTCCCGCTTTGCTTGCTTCATGCTCTTCAGGTGAGCACAGCTGCCCTTCTGTTAAACCTGAAGGGGGGACACCTTTCCCGTCATGCCCCCCCCCCATGTTGGTTTGCACCCAGCCCCTTCCTGGGCATGTAGCCACTGGATCGGGGCCTGGCGTTGGAGAACCTTTGCTGTGCGGTCAATAGGAATCGGGTTAGACCGACTTGTGTTTCAACGGCACTTTGGCAGGAGATCTTCCCTGGTGGAACCTGCCTGTTCTTTGGGGACTGGGAGGAGCGTGGCCCTCCGGGGTCATCTGTGATCCAATATTGTCCTCGTCTGCGGACCAAAACAATCATGGCTCAGAGGTGAAAGCCCCTGCTTTGAGCTAGGCTGGTTAGTGGGCTGATCCAAGCAGAGCATGGGAATTAGGGGGGGACAAGACCTTCCCCTCTCCACTATGCCTGTAGCTGTTTCCTAGAGAGAGTGAAAGAGGGCAAAGAATATATTGCGTGCGGGGAGTGGACAGTGGCCCGTGAGTGTGAGATTTCTCTCCCCTATGCCACACCCAGCCCGTGAACAAGGCTTGCTACGGCCTAAAGTTTTTTCAGCTCCTGGAAAAGCACAGATGGGCTGTGGGCAAGCGAGCAGTTGCCCATGACTCATAAGGCCTCCAGGGGTCCGTCTGGCAAAAACACGAAGTCTGGAAGCCTCAAGCCTAAATCAGGGGCTCTCTCTTATCCTAAAACTCCCAGGATGAGGCCCTCTTCCAGTCTGCTTCCAAGACAGAAAATCACCCAGTTGACAGATCATTTATAACTCAAGGTAGGGGTGTTGTTTCTGTCTTTTCTGAGCTGCCCTGGATCGAGGCCTCCAAACAGAGTCTGGAACCAGGTCCCTTCTCCCCTAGCCGCCTCCGTCCCAGATTCCAAACGCACTGGAAAGAGAAAAAAGTAACACCTTTTTCTTGCTTAAAGGAAACGAAGCTTTCCAGATTTGTTAACTGCAATCAGACTAGGTTTCAGGGGGAAAGAATAAATCGTAGGTTGTAGCAGAAGAAGAGCCAAAGACCAAATGTGGAGGTTGCTAGTTTTTGAAGCATAGGAGTTGAATAAATGGGGAATGGTCCCCCCCCCCCTGTTCTGCTTTGGTGGGTCAGGGCTCAGTCCGGCCGGACTCTAGTTGCCTCTCATGTGCGGTTCTCCCTTCGCTCTAGTGCTCCCATGTTCGCCAGGATCCGGGCCTCTTTCCAGCTGTACCCCTCGGTTCTCCGCACTGTGGCTGTCGCCCAGAAGCGGGTTGTGCAGTTGCAGCTCTGCCCCAGCCCATTGCTGGAGTAGAACCCGCTTTGTCATAGGAAAGTTCACAAAGCCTCTTGCCTCAGGGAAATGATGTCACGTGGCGGAAGTTCTGTGTGTCTCCCCCCCCCCCGTCCCGCTTTTCCCCATCCCTCCCCCCTTCCTTTTGGTGTGTGTTGAATAAGCGAGAGAACGGAATCAAGAGAGAGCCATGGCAGGACGGAAGGAGCCGGGGTGGGGGTTGCGACGAGAGCCGAGCGCCCGCGTCTTCTGCCTCGGCTTCGGCCACGTCGGGAGGCTTCTCTTTACGGTGGGACGCGCGGACCACCAGATGGCACTTAACTTAGAAAAAGCAGTTTCTTTTTTCTTGCGTGGGAAGAGCTGCGATTTATTTTTTGTGTGTGTTTGCGAAAGGGGGGGGGAGAGGAGGGAGGGGGCCTCTCTTGGCGAGGAGGGGGGAGGAGGGGCATTTAAAGTGGTTAATCTTGTATACAGCGATTGAATAAAAATTGTTTTGCAGTTTCCAAAAATGCTTCTTTTCAACAAGCAAACAGACAAAAAAGGAAAACTGTCTTCCCAAAGGGAAAGGGAGGGGGGGGGACCATTGAATCCAGGACAACTTCCAAAGCATCCAGGACAAATGTCATCCCAGTGGGTTGCCAGCTGTAGTGGACTATGTTCCCTCTAAGATGTAGAGTCTTGTGAGCAAAAGTCCTACTTGGTGAGCTGCTGGCATTAAAGTTGTGAGTGAGCGATTTGGTTCCTGCATAAATTAGTTTGCTCTGGAGCCCCATCCTTCCTGAGCTGAGACAAAAATGTGTGAGCCAGAGGCTAAAAAACTGTGAGCTGGCTCACACTAACTCAGCTTAGAGGGAACACTGGTAGTGGAGACTGTCGGAAGATTGTGTGTGCATTTGGTGTTTTAAACCAAACTCTGGGCCGAGACGAGATCAGTTCTGTCATTTGTATACCTTTCGGGTGCATTTGTGCAATTCTGTTTGTGTATTAGGATTAGGGCCCCCGATCTGGGTAGCTCAGGATAGCCTGATCTCATTAGATCTCGGAAGCTAAGCAGGGCCAGCCCTCATGAGGACTTGGATGGGAGACCACCAAGGAAGCCCAGGGTCGCTACACAGAGGCAGGCCATGGCAAACCACCTCCAAACGTCTCTTGCCTCGAAAACCCTCTGGGGTCGCCACAGGTCAGCTGTGATTGGACAGCAAGAAGGGGGGGGGTAGGAGCTTAGGAGGTAGGCCCCCCCCAAATTATCAGGGCTCCCCTTTACGTTGCCTTGATTACCAAAACGTTTATGTTGGGTACAGGGGGATCTTTCGACACTGGTCTCTTTCATCCTTTGATACGAACTAAATGGAAGACGTATAAAAGGGAGGACTCCTGAGAGTTAGATCACTCCATCTTTTTAATTGTTATCGTTCCGGTATAAATAAAACTTCCCGTTCCCTTCTACAGCGAGTACTTGAGCATACATAACAGTCGAGTAGAACTCAGTTAGCGAAAAAGCCACCAGCATGAGTATCTTATTACCGTGATACGGGAAAGAAAGCGTTTCTAGGAGCTGGGTATTGTGGTACCGTTTCCTAGTCTCCCATCTTTTTTTTTTTTACGGAGCAGGGAATGTCCCTTCTAAAGTATGACTCTGAAGACCTGAAAAGTCGTTTTTAAAAAACAAAACAAAACCATGCAACTCTACTATCTTCACTTTTTCCTACTCGGTAGAATGGATAAAAGCACTGTGATAATCCAAGATTCCTCATCCTCTCTTTGACTACATGCTACTGCGAGACACTGGCTTGTACTGAAAGAGCACAGAGTGCTTAGTGACAATCTAAGGACCCAGAGGCAACCCTTCCTTTGAAGCGGCTACGAATTCATCCAATAACCACAGCTAAAAGCACCTGGCTTCAGACTATTTAGGCTACCAGCCATACTAGCAGATGGTTATCGGGCTCTCCACAACTGCTCATGCAAGCTTTTGTCTTTGGCATAATTCGATGGCTGGGGGATGGAGGGAGAAGAGAGAAAGGACTTAATGCAATAATAACACTGAATGCAGCAGTTTAAAAGTTGCCAGAACTTTTCATAGACTCAGCCTTACAACAGCCCTAGAAGGTAGGCCAGTATTATCCCCAAGTAACATACACAAATAGCCTTGCAACAGCCCGAGAACGAAAGAGCTGAGGAAACCGACTTGCAACTATATGAGATGGCTGGAGGAGCGGTATCACGGCTTGCAGTCTTAGTCTCTGTGCTGAGGGAATGTGCTTTGAGGGGGCGTATAGACAAGGGGGATACACATTCATAAGAGCAAGTTGGGCAGCGGATGGGTCTTCCCCACTATTTCTCGGCCACCATTCTGACTGAGCCAAAGTAGTTTGACATTACTGGTTGGCGGAGGAAAAGGGTATCTTGCAATCTTGAAAAATGCAGCATTGGGTGGGGGAGGATTAAGGCCTTAGATTTGGGGAATAAACCCCCGGAAGGCGGGCAATAGGCAGCAAATGGCTAAGTTTGTAACAAGTGGTGCAGCTTCAAGCTGCTGGCTGCTTCAAAACAGTTTTTTTTTCCTTCCCCCCCCCCCCTCTCTCAGAGGAGAAAGCAAGCTATTTCTGTCCAGACACCAAAACTGCCAGCTCCTGGATGGAGATCTCCTTATTCAGGTAACTGTCGTACTGAGCAGGGGTTAGCCTTCCGCTCTTCAAGGCGTCTTCGATGGAGAACTTCTTCCCTGACTTCCTATCAAGGATGACGGAGGATTCGCTGTTGGGCCCTTTGACAGTGATCTCTTCCCAGTCGCATTCTTGGTTCTTCAGCTTGACGTAGAGACTCCACTCGATCAGGCCGAATTTGTGGGCTTCCTCGGGGGACATCTCTTTGCCAGTGTCTGGGTCGATGACCACGATGGAACGCCTCAAGTGGTTCTCCCGCTGCTCCCTCTTGATGGCCACGGTCTGAAGGCGGTTCTGGAGCTGCTCGATTTCTTCGTCCTTCTCCCGAGACATGTGCTTCAAATCATCCAGTTCTCGTTCCAGCGACTGGAAGCGGGAGTCCAAGTTCAGGCTGCTCTCCACCTGCGACATGTTCCGTAAATCCCGGGCTTCCGTCATGGTGAGCTCAATCTCAGACTGCAGCCTCCGGGTCTCCAGCAAGAGGTTCTGCTTCTCCAAGTGCAGCTTGTGGTTTTCCTCCCTCAAAAAGTCCAGCTCTTTGGAAGACTTGGAGTTGTTGAACTCCACTTCAGACAACTTGGCCTCCAGCCGATTGATGTCTGCATCGAGCTCCATCTTCCGCCGGCTCTCCTCCTCCAGGTTGCTCTTCAGCTTTTGGATCTCAAACTCGGTGTCCCCTTTGTCCACCTGAATGCTCTCGGAGACGACGACCTTCTCCTTGACCTCCATCTTCTCCAGGGTCTGGAGCTTCTTCCGCAGTGCCTCTAGCTCCGCCTGCAGGACCTGCCTCCGGTGCTTCTCCTCCTCCAGCTCCATCTTGGTCAGGGCGTGCTCCTTCTCCTGCTGAGGGTCCTGCTGGAGGATTACCTTCTGCTTCACGGTGACCCGCTCCGTGGTCTCCCGCTCTTGTTCCTCCAGCTCGTTCAGCCGGATCCGCAACCTCTGCACCTCCAGCTCGGCCTCTCGGCGGGCCTGCCGCTCCTTCTCAAGCTCCTCCAGCTGCCGCTCCAGCTCCGACCGCCTCCGCTGCAGCTTGCGCATCTCGCCCCGCAGTGTGTCGATCTGGTTGAGCTCCTTCTCTATGCTCTGGGAGAAGGAGTCGATCTCGGCTTTCCGGGCAGGGTCTTGTTCCAGCTTCACCACCTCCTGCTGCACCACTTTCTCCTTCACCTGGGAGAGTTCCTCCTCCTTCTGCCGGATGATCTCCTCCTGCTGCCTCCGGTCCCGCTCCAGATCCATGTGCTTCCGCTGTTCTTCGGCCAGCTGAGCCCTCAAGGACTCCACCTCTTCTCTCGTTTGCGGGTCTTCCCGGTACTGCAGCACCTCTTGGATCACCTCCTTCACCTGGACCTGAGGCTGGGTGTTCTTCAGAGTCTCGATCTCCTGCTTCAGCTGGTAGATCTCCAGGTCTGCTCTCTCGATGGCTCTGGTCCGATCCACGATCTCGTCCCGGAGCTGCTGCAGCTCCAGCTCCGTCTCCGGGTCGTTCTTGTACTTGATGACTTCCTTGATGACTTCTTGAACTTCCACCTGGGGCCCTCTGTTCCGCAGGGCAGCCAGCTCGCTCTGGCAGTCCTTCAGCTGCTCCTCCCCACCTCGCAGTTTCCCTTCCTGCTCCACCAGCTCCAGGCGAAGGTTGGCCACCTCGCTTTCCGCCTGGGGGTCCGGCCGCACAATCTCCCGGACCTTCTCCTGGACAATCACCTTGGCGTTCTCCTCTTCCAAGGCCTGGATCTTCCGGAGCAGCTCAGCCTTCTCCCGCTCATTGGAGCGCCCTCTGGCCTTCTCTTCCTCATACTGGCGCCGCAGGTCGTTCACCTCCCTCTCCATCGTTAGGTCCTTCTCCACCGTGAGCACCTCCTTGACGGTGATCTTGCCCTCGGCCATGGCCCGTTCCTTCTCCAGCCGCTTCAGCTTGTCCTGCAGGAAGCGCAGTTCTTCCTCCTGCTGCTGCCTCAGCGTGCTTTCCTTCTGCTTGCTCTCCTGCAGCTGCTGGTACTCCAACTCCAGCTGGGGGTCGTTCTGCAGCTTCACCACTTCCTTCTCGGTCACCTTCTCCAGCTCCGTGTTCTTCTCGTTGGACAGAGCAGCCACCTGCCTGCGCAGGACAGCCATCTCGTTCTCCCGGGACCCTTCCTGCCGCTTGAGTTCCTCCAGCTCCTCCTTCAGCTTCAAGATCTCCTCTGCCTGTGACCTGTCAGGCTCGATCCTCAGGACCTCCTTGACCACGTACTCCTGCCCGCCTTCTTTCTTCTCGTGTTCCAGGACGCGCAGCTTGAGCCTCAGGCCCTCCACCTCGTCCCGCAGCGCCTGGTTCCTGCGCTGCTCCTCAGCCAGGTTCTGCTGCATCTTGTGGAAGCTCTCGTCCAGCTGCGGGTCGGGCATCTTCTTCACCACCTCCTTCCTGACCACGGACTCCTGGGGCTTCTGGTTCTGCAGGAAGAGGATGTTCTCCTGGATTGCCTTGATCTCCGCCTCCAGCTGCTGCCGTCGCTGGCTCTCGTCGTCCAGCTCCTTCTTGAGCTTCCAGATTTCCTCCAGCGGCCTCTCGGAATGGCTGGTCTGGACCGACTCCTGCATCACATGGACATCTGGCTGCTATCAAAAGGGCGGGGGGGAGAAAACACAGTCAACTTAATTTTCCATCCCTCTGACAAGGTACTTTGCTCTCATCCCTCCTGCCCGAATTCTGCAACTCATTCTGCCCGGTGGCCTCTTCGCAAAGCATTTCCAAGGTCTGGTATTTGTGGACAAGTGAGCGAGCGTGGTGCTGATAAGGGAAGGAGCGCCACCCCCTCTCAGGCCGTGCAACGCAGGTTCACTTGTTTTGCACCGTAACCCTTGCAGACATTGTGCTGGAGCTCTAAGTAGAGATGGGTAGCTTGGCACAGCAGTGCAAGTGAGATTCTGAGCTTGGACAGATTTGCAGAGGGGAGGCTGTTTTCTAAACCCAGCCAGCGCAGTCATTAGGGGAGGAGCTACGGCTCTGTGGCAGAGCATCTGCTTGGCATGCAGAAGGTGCCAGGTTCGATCCCTGGTATTCCCAGTCAGGCCGGAGGTGATGTGAAGGACCCCTGCCTGGGACCCTGGAGATCCGCTGCCAGTCTGAGTAGACAATACTGACCGGGAAATCTACAACTACTAATACTGACCTTGATGGGCCCAGTGGTCTGATTCAGGGCTAAGTCATTGCCCAGGTTATTGCCAACTACATCTGGTAAACGTTGGCTGGGGCTGTAAGAATGCTAAGGAACTGTTAAGCCAAATACTAAGGCATCTCTTCCGGTTTCCCTCTCCCATCAGGGCTGGACCTGTACAGCTAAATGACACCTCCTGCCCCAGCTTCAGGTGCAAGGTCAGGATTCCGGCCAGAAAAGCCTCTCCCCTCCCCTCCACTTCACACTCACCTGTTTCAAGAGGTTCTGGGCAAACTCCAAGTTCTGTAACCTCTGTCGGTTGACCGCATTCACTTCCGTGTACTTTGCAGCCAGCTGAGCTTCCTGAGACAATAAAAACAGATAAACCCGGTCAGAAAATAGTTTCAGGTGGGTAGCTGTATTGCCCTGCAAAAGTAGGAGAGAATTCGAGTTCGGTAGAACCTTAAAGACAAGCTGAATTTTTCAGGGCTGTGGGCTCTGTGCCTCGAAGCTCATCTCATCAGACCCCAGATAAAAAGCAGTGAGCTTTGTATCTAATGAAGTGAGCTCTGAGTCGTGACAGCTAATACCCTGGAAACTGGTTGGTCTTTCAGGTGCCGCTGGACTCGGGCTTCGGTCAGAGAAGGGAATGAACTCAGAACGGATGAACAAGGAAGCGAGAGCAGGAAGTGGAATCTGTTTCCAGTTGTATAGAAACAAAGGGGAGAAGGGAGAAATAATACTGAGGATCGAAGAAGAAGAAGAGATTGGATTTATACCCTGGCCTTCACTTCTGAGTCTCAGAGCAGCTTACAAACTCCCTTCCCCTCCCCACAACAGGTAGGTGGGACTGAGAGAGCTCTGACAGAAACTGCTCTTTTTCAAGAACAGCTCTTATCAGAACTATGGCTTGCCCAAGGTCATCCAGCAGCTGCGAGTGGAGGAGTGGGGTATCAAACCCGGTTCTCCCAGATTAGAGTCCACTCACTTAACCACTGCGCCAAACAGGCTCTCGGGGGTGCGTGTCTCTTCCTGTCATATGGCTGCCGCTCTGTGGACCCCGGAACTGACTGTGTTCCAGACTTCCGTTCCAGAGAGATCAAATCTCATGTTGGCCGTACTGCTCATGGATTGACCCCGGGCGAACTACTTATTCTCTCAAGTCTCTAACATACTGCTCCGGGTGGTTGCAAGAAAGGATTACCAGCCCCCCCTGGTGGAGGCCTGGAGATCTCCCAGAACTACATCTGAGTTGCCAGGAGTTGGTTTAACCCTACTGTGAAGATAAAGGAGGAGCAGAGCCATTGATGCTGCTCTAAGCTCCCTGGTAGACATCAGAGAATGTGAATGTTTCACTTGCTTACAAGGAAGAGGGGCTTAATACTGTAGTGGGCTGTCCGTTCCGTAGGGGTGGGGGCAGAGTCAAAGGCATCTTTTACAGAATAGTCCCAGGGAAGACTGAGTTCCCGAACTAAGGTACCTCCTCTTTCACTTTTGCAGCAGGAGACTGAAGCCTGGGTCTCTTGCTCATGAACCCGTTGCGCCCGTTCTCCAGGTCGATAATGGAGCGCAGCTTCTCCGCTTCTAGCTCGTAGTCCTGGGGACGGAGTGGAGGGAGGAGGAGACGGAGAAAAGGCATGAACATACTGATGCAACTAAGCCTGCGAGAGATCACGGCGAGCAAGCGTCCTGCCACAAGAACATAAGAGCTCTGCTGGATCAGACCCGTAGTCCATCTCATCCAGAATCCTGTCTCACACAATGGCCAACCAGTTCCTTGGGAGGTCCAACAACAGGGCTTGGAGGCCCAGGCCTTCTGAAGAACATCAGAAGAGCCCTGCTGGATCAGACCAGTGAGGGTCCACCTAGTCCAGCCTCCTGTCTCACACAGTGGCCAACCAGTTCCCCTGGAAGGCCAACAACAGGGCAGAGAGGCCGAGGGCTTCCCCTGATAAGAACATCAGAAGAGCCCTGCTGGATCAGACCAGTGAAGGTCCATCTAGTCCAGCATCCCATCTCACACAGTGGCCAACCAGTTCCTCTGGAGGGCCAACAACAGGGCAGAGAGGCCGAGGCCTTCCCTTGAGAAGAATACCAAAAGAGCCCTGCTGCATCAGACCAGTGAAGGTCCATCTAGTCCAGCATCCTGTCTCACACAGTGGCCAACCAGTTCCTCTGGAGGGCCAACAACCCCTTGAGAAGAATACCAAAAGAGCCCTGCTGCATCAGACCAGTGAAGGTCCCTCCAGTCCAGCATCCTGTCTCACACAGTGGCCAACCAGTTCCTCTGGAGGGCCAACAACAGGGCAGAGAGGCCGAGGCCTTCCCTTGAGAAGAATACCAAAAGAGCCCTGCTGCATCAGACCAGTGAAGGTCCCTCCAGTCCAGCATCCTGTCTCACACAGGGGCCAACCAGTTCCTCTAGAGGGCCAACAACAGGGCAGAGAGGCCGAGGCCTTCCCCTGAGGAGAACATCAGAAGAGCCCTGCTGGATCAGACCAGTGAAGGTCCATCTAGTCCAGCATCCTGTCTCACACAGTGGCCAGTCAGTTCCTCTGGAGGGCCAACAACAGGGCAGAGAGGCCGAGACCTTCCCCTGATAAGAACATCAGAAGAGCCCTGCTGGATCAGACCAGTGGTCCATCTACTGCAGCATCCCGTCTCACACAGGGGCCATCCAGTTCCCCTGGAAGGCTGACAACAGGGCAGAGAGGCCAAAGCCTTCCCCTGATGTTGTCTCCTGAGACTGGGATTCAGAGGCTTTCCTGCCCCGTCGTCTCACCCTCCTGTTTCAGCTTTTGACATGGGAAATAAAGATACCGGCCAATATTACAGGGCTGTTGTAAGGATGAACTAACTAATATAGGCAGATGGACACAATGCCTTCAAATGCACTGCTCAGAACAATTTATAACATTAGCAAAAGAAGAAGAGATTGGATTTATATACCCCGCCCTTTACTCGGAGTCTCAGAGCGGCTTACACACTCTTTTCCCTTCGTCTCCCCACAAGAAGACACCCTGTGAGATCGGTGGGGCTGAGAGAGCTCTGAGAGAACTTGTGACTGGCCCAGGGTCACACCAGCAGCTGCATGTGGAGGAGCAGGGAATCAAACCCGCTTCTCCAGATTAGAGTCTGCCACTCTTAACCACCGCACCAAACTGGCTCTCAGTGAGTGTTACCACAACCTAGCTGTTTTCCTCTGGATTGTTTTGTCAATGGGGTTTTGTTATGAGCTCTTGTTTTGGTCAGGCTGTGAGACTTTTAGGCCCTTGAGGTCACAGTGCTTCTGTCTGCTAGTCCTTTGAACTGGCAATTACCATTTATCCCCACCGTCCCCCATTCCTCCCTTCTTGGGAGGAAAGGCGGTGTGGTATAGCCCGATCTCATCAAATCTCAGGAGTTAAGCAGGGTTGGTACTTGGAAGGGAAACCACCAAGGAAATCTCTGCAAAGGAAGGCAATGGCAGACCACCTCTGCTTCTCCCTTGCCTTGAGAGCCCATAGCTGGGGTTGCCTTAAGTTATAAGCCAAGCTGGGTCACTACTTGGAAGGGAGACCTCCAAGGAAGACTCTGCAGAGGAAGGCCATGGCCAACCACCTCTGCTTCTCACTGGCCTTGAAAGCCCCTTGCTGGGGTGGCCTTAAGTTATAAGCCAAGCTGGGTCACTACTTGGAAGGGAGACCTCCAAGGAAGACTCTGCAGAGGAAGGCCATGGCCAACCACCTCTGCTTCTCACTTTCCTCTAAAGCCCCTTGCTGGGGTTGCTATAAGTTGGCTGCAAGTTGATGGCACTTTACACACACACACTCCTCCTTCCTTACCTTCACTGCCTGCTGGTAGCGCTGAGCGTCAGCCGAGACCCGATGGACTTCTTGGTCTTTGTTTGCAATTTCTCCCAGCAGGGCCTGAAAAAAGTGGAGCAAGCAGAGAGAGGTCAAACAGTGGGAGGCGTCATCTTCCTTGGGGCCTCGCTAACGCTGTGGTCTTTTACCCCCTGCAATTTGTTGACATTGTACAGGTCAAGATGCATTTTGTGGAAAGAGGAAGCAGGTCAGTTGGGAAGGATAGGGTTATTCGCGCCAGCACTGCGGGTAACCCCGATCTGCAGCAGCCAAGGCCCAAATTTTGCTGCAAGGGGACTCTCAGGGGGAATCGGAAGTTCACCCAGTAGAAAGTGCAAAACACACTTTGTGCTGCCACCACTTCTGTGTCTGAGCAGCATACCACAGACTACGAACGTTCAGATGAGACGGCTTCCCTCTACCGTACCCTTTGGTGGGGGTCCCAGTAAGCTCGAAATACTTATTCTGATCCAGTCTGGGAAGACTTCTGTTTCCCCCCCTCATCTCCTGCCTCTGTTCTGGCAAGCTTTCGGGTTGAATGACGGGACATAAGGGACACAGAGGAGGAGGATTACCCTTTGGCTCTTCAGCTTGTCTTCCACATTGGCGACGCTGTCGGTTTCTTGCGGCTCATAATTGGGCACGTGGGAAAGGAAACGGCTCAGGTTGTCATAGCCGGCACGGTAGTCAGAATAGGCCGATTTGGCTCTCTGGATGATCTGAGACCTACAAAGAAGTTGCAGCAAATCGTGTTGGTAATGGCTATCAGTAGCACCGAATCCCATTCGCTCTGGGCAGGGGTCATTTCCTGCAGGAGCGCACAGGAGCGGAGCTCCGGCAGTAAAGAGCCCAGGGGGAGGGCACATGCAACAAGCCCCGCCCCCCCCGGCAGCCCTCAGTCAGAGCAAGAAACAGCCAGGTAAGTTGCAGAGCTGCCCCCGGCCCAAAACAGTCCAGTGGCACCTTTAAGACCAAGTTTTATTCAGGTACAAGCTCTCCTTCCTCTGTGAGGACGGATCTGCACGTTCCCGCCCCCCCCCCCCAAACCCAGCAATCCAAAACATTC